AAATGTCATATAAAATAAGAAAAGTATAGTAACAATGAATTTCTCTTGGGCCAGTATAGGTTAAAATGCAAAACGTATTTGCTAACTTTTCCCTTCTCCTTTTCCCTTTTATTCTTTTCTAAACTCATGCTAAGATTCTACTCGTATTCATTGTTTCTCACTTTGTATCTCTCTGTCTCGCTGATGCACACACACATGATTAAGACAATTATAGATATGTGTGTGTGTGTGTTATTTAGTGAGATACATAGCTAAAATATTCAGGGAACTAGCTTTGAAATAGAGAAGCACAAATGAATCTTTTATAATACTAAACTTATAATTAATTGAAACTTCTATAAATACATATTAGGGAAAACCTTGTTTGAATTGCTAAAAGATACAATAACAGTAATAATTATTTGGCAGTGTCACACTTAATTTAGACAATGTAAATTAATATTGTAAATAAATTGCAGGAGATTATTTGAAGTACCTACAAGGAAGCAAATAGTTCTTAAGCACCTCGAGGAACTTTAGAAGATTTTTATTGTCATGCAGACAATTAATATGCTAATTATACATCTTTCCCTTCTATTCATTAATTAAATTTCCAAGACTGTTATAAGACAAATGTGTCATTCAACACAAAGTATTCGTTGCCTAAGTTTGTATAAAACCTCTTAACCTTGGCAGCATTTAGAAGGTATCCTTTGTTGTAGAAATAATACTGATATTTGAGTCTCACAAACAAGGTTCCTCATTTAATTGTGGTAAAATAAACCTGGCCATTAAATTTTGTTATTTAATTTCATCTGTTTTGCTAACTAAAATAATTTCTACCATTTATGGTCTGTAGTTATGCAGATAATAATTGAGTATTTTTATTCTCAAAAGTGACTTTGTTTTAGTTTGTAAACTTTTCTTTTAGATTCACAGCTTCCCAATTAATTCATTCTATGTCAGTTTACATGGTTTAATCTCTATTATCCACACATTTGAATAATGTAATGGAGCTTATACTGCTGGGCATGCTTTAACAAATCCTTCTGTGCTGTTTTGTTTCTGTCAACTTTACACAACTGGGAAGAGGAAATGTGGATTGAGGTATTGTCTTTATCGGGTTGGCATGTGGGCATTTATGGGGCATTTTATTGATTGATTTTTGATATGGGAGGATCCAGCCCCTGTAGAAGGTGCCAGCTGTAGAATGTTGATCCTGAGGTGGAGAAGAAAATAAACAGAATAAGACATGAGGTGTAAGCCATCAAGAAGAGGTTCCCTGTGATCTCTGCTTCAGTTTCCACCTCCAGATTTTTCCTGCCTTGATTTCCTGCCATGACCTCCCTTAATGATAGATTATAAACTATGGATCTGAAGTAAAGCCTTTTCTCCTTAAGTGGTTTCTGATCAAGGCTTTATCACAGCAACAGAAACAAACAAGAATATATTCACTTAAAGCTTTAAGACAAAATTAGGTTTGTTTTGCCCTTCCAGCTACGTTGTAAAAAGGTGCTTTAGTGTTTAGTGTCATTTCCTCTTAAAGAGTGAGAGATTATCTTACTCACACTGGCATAGGTGTGTGTGACCACACACACACACACACACACACACAGAGAGAGAGAGAGAGAGAGAGAGAGAGAGAGAGATAATTCTGTTATCAAATTTAAATCTTATTTAAAAATATTTTAAATAATGAGTCTCAAAGTGAGAAATGATTTTAGACTTGGCTAGTCATTACCTTGTAGGTCCTGTCATTACTTACTGAGTTCCAGATGATAAGAACTGCTAGGAAAGCCGCTGTGCCTGTGCTATATATACCACAGCTCCCAGAAACTTTATCATCTGCTATTTCTAGCACATTTAGATGTTTAGTTTCTAAATTATCTTCAAGGCCTGAAAGTATTTTCAACCTCCCTTTTCTGAAACATTCAATGATTAAGGGAAACATTCGTTTGTATGTCACCTGGTGGTATGGTGTCCCTGTGGCAAATTACTGTGAATTTATTTTGAGACTTGTGTGTAGAGCTATTTTAGTTACTCTCTGCCTTATACAGGCATGCAATCAAAATCTTAGATTTTTTTAAATAGCATATGAATTCCAGAAGGCTTCCATCACTATTTTTTCTTTTATTATTATTATTGTTATTATTATTATTAATTACATTTTATTCATTTTGTATCCCCCCATAAGCCCCTCTCTCCTCCCCTCCTGATCCCACCCTACCTCCCCTTTCTTCATGCATGCTCCTCCCCACATCCACTGATAGGGGAGGTCCTCCTCTCCTTCCTTCTGATCTTAGTCTATCTGATCACATCAGGAATGGCTGCATTGTCTTCTTCTGTGGCCTGGTAAGGCTGCTCCCCCCTCAGGGGGAGGTGATCAAAGAGCAGAGTGAATGGAATTTTATGTAAGAAGTGGGAAATAGCAAGAGCTGGAGAGGACAGGAACTCCACAAGGAGAGCAAAAGAACAAGAAAATTTGAACACAGGGAACTTCCCAAAGACTCATACTCCAACCAAGGACTATTCATGGAGATAACCTAGAACCCCTGCACAGATGTAGCCCATGGTAGTTTAGTGTCCAAGTGGCTTACATAGTGATGGGAAGAGGGTCTGCCTCTGCCATCACTAATTTTATAGAAAATATATTTTGTAGAAATTTACAAAAGCTGCACTGCCCCCAAAATTACATCTGCATGTAGTTAAATATTTGATTATATTATTTTTTTTAATTTTATTTTTTTCTTATCAGTTACATTTGATTAACTCTGTATCCAAGCCGTGTCCCGATCCATCATTCCCTCCCAGTCCCTCCCTCCCTCCCTCATCTCCACCGTGCCCCTTGCCAAGTCCCCAAATTATATTATAATGTGCACTATTTAACATAGCAACAGCATATGAATCATGAATATAATCAGTTGTGCTTTGAGAAAAGGGTCTATCTTTTTATTTTGATTATTATATTGCTGAAAAAAAGATAAACCCTTAGATCAAAAGGAGTCTCATTGGATCAAGGTCATATTTACATACTCTTTCACTTTATTTTCAAAAAGTCCTGTGAGACAGGACAGATTATTGTCACTGTTTCATGTGGCTGTTTCTGTCCACACAACAAGAGGTTAATTTAGCCACCTACTAATCTCTTCAGTCATCTTAAAGCACATCAGACAGACTGGGTAACATCCAAAGGGGTGGATGGTTCCAAAACCTTCTGTGTTTATGCCTGTTTGTGTGCTTTTCATTATTTTAACAAACTTATCAAAAATAAAGAAAAACTATAATTACAGCTTAAGAGAATAGTATTTTTCATGGATACAATCTCTAGGTTTTAATTTTTATTGCAGTGAATTAGATGGTGGGGGAGGGAGAAGGCATCCATTCTAATCCATGAGACACACTACCTATAATTTTATAGCTAAGGGTACTGAATAAAACATTTGCACAAAGGTTAGGAACATGATGTGTTTCTTGTTTTTCTTCGGAATCTCTGGAAGACTATGTGACATGCTAGCCAAGAACAGGAACAGTAGATCTCCTGGCATGATCTGAACAACAGGACCCTGGTTTCCTAGTTAGAGATGGGAAGAAGCTACCTCAGAACATTCTTGTAAATGCAAATACATTATAATTTGACCAAAAAATTGAGCACATTAATTTTTCCATATATATTTTTATATATGAAAATACAAATAATATTAGTTAATATAAAATATATAATATTTTACTAAATAATATATAATTTATACATAATATTTTACTAAATAATATATAATTTATAAATAATACTTTACTAAATAATATATATTTTAATATATATTCATAAATATTTACATTTAAAAGAAATATTAAAGTACCAATTTTCTTATCAAGCAATAACCCAATACTCAGTCACTTATCAAAACTTAGAGTTAATGCATCTTAATATTTTGAAAGAAGGAAATAGAGGGAGAGGAATTAAGGAAATAAAATATATGAACCTACATATTCTTGTGTAAAAAAAAATCCATTGGTATTATTTGAGGAAATGCTTATTTGTCTTCATAAGCATTTGGAAATATATTGGAGGTTGTTTTAATTTTCCCTTTCAAAATTTCATATACAATGCAGTAGACAAATTTCAAGTAAGGTTCAAAATAGAAAGTTTCAATCATAAACCTGGACCTACTGCTATATCATTACTGAGTTCCATTACAGTTCTCCAGAATTTAATGCAAATGCTGTTCATAAGAATAAATGGAAGTGGGTGCATCAAAGCACTAAATCACTTCTTTGCTGCATCAGTTTACATGGTTTATACCAATAAATACATTTTATTAGATGATTTGCTTTGTATTTTCAGACTTTTTCTTTCTGTATCTATGAAATTAAAAATGATTTTGAGTTTTGCAATATGCCCATAAGTGCATGCAATATATATAACTTATTTTTGTATAACTATAATCTGAAATTATACATTTGGGAGTGTATTTTCAACATCCAAAAATGGAACCTAAAACTGATGGTCTTCCAAGGTTACTTTAGAATCACCAAGCATGACATCTTCAATAGTATGTGATAAATAATTTCACAGGCATAAGTATCAGTGGGTCAAAGGGTAAAACCTTGTCTTCTTATTCTAAACTTGAGGCCACCTGCAAAATCTGTCATTAATTACTTCTGTCTTCAAAATATAATTTTGAGAGAATTCATAAGAAAACCAGTATTGAATTTTACGCATCTCTATTTGCATGCTATATTAATTGAATACAATTAATTCAAACACATTGGCTCATTATGTTTCCTACTGAATAATCATTCTAAGTAAAAACGTAGCTACTTAGCACAATTCTGTATTTCTTAATCTGAAAGACTTTTTAAGTTAAATGGAACTATGAGGAAAATAATTGATTGTATGCTTGCAGGAATGTATGCCTTTGAAAAGTAAAGCAGACGACTGAGTAACACCCATAGTTGTCTTTATGCTTCACCCAGAGAGTGGGATCGTTTCTTTACCTCGGGCTCTCTTGTTTGCTTTTCAGCTGCTGCGAATGTGGCTGTGGGAGGGCTTCTTCCCTGTGCGCTGTTGCCCATCCAAGCCTAATATGGTCAGTGTTTCCTCCCACTTCCCTCCTATGTGATGTCCACCTCTGCGTACTCCTTCCAACATCTTTGCTTTCTTCATCTGTGTACATCTTAACTTTGAGGAGAGTAGACGGACCATATCCCCAAAGGAGAATCTTCCTAAGTAATTTGAAAATAGACTATTACAAATAAAGTACTATGAGTACAGCAAGAGTGTATCTGTCAAGATCTGTGCTTTCTCCACAAAGGTTTCCAGTGGTGCTGATTTGAAGTAGGGATTCTAAGAGTATAGCATCTGTCACATTTAACATGTCACCGTTTTTGTTGTTCCATTTGATAAAATCCATATCACACGTGGAAGTACAGTGCTACTTCTGTCCAGGTAAAAATCACCTATTTTGTCTCTAAGAACCATGGGGTGTCCATACTGTAACCAGTCTTCTATCATCATAATTCATGGATGCATGCGACATTGATGAGGAAACGCAATGACATTGTAAATGGAATTGAGTTATTTCTGATATTTGAAGTGATATTCCTATTTTGATACCACTAAAATAATAGCAGTAGTAGTAGTAGAATCTATTTGCAAAAGAAAATTTAAATATATAGTTGGCTTACAATTTTAGTATTTTAAGATGGGATGGATAAGAGAACACAATTATTACATTTAGAGGGACTGTAACATCAGAGTGAGGTGGATTATCAAATAATCTAAACAGTTTTCTGTTGATAAGAGTCACAATTCTTCAATTTGTATATTACTTTCAGTTGTAGTAGACATTGTGAGGAGTAGTCACTTTAAAATGCAGTTAGGGCCTTCTTAAAGCCTATATATATATATATATGTTAAATACATATATATGTAGATATATTTGTATGTATGCATGAAATTTGGCTTTACTGATGTGCGTTCCGGTGCCCCTAGAGGTCTGAGAAGGGCATTGAATAAACTGAGTTAGATTTAAGTGTGGTCATATGTGACCACATATGTTCTGGGAAATGAACTCAGATTTTGTGGAGGAGGAGCACGTGTATTAGCCATTGAGTCAGTGGTGGTATTGAAGAGGAATTTTATTCCAGCAACATGGCTGCTCTGAAAAGGGATTACATCCAAAGGCCTTCTAGGTCTGTCTGATCTTGCTGGAACAACACACCTTTAATCACTCCAACTGGAATACATCCATACCCTTAGTATACACCTTTAATCTCTAACAATGACAGCAAGATTAGTTTATAGAAGGAAGCTGCTAAGTTTGAAAGTGATGTCTAGTTGAGGGGCAGACAAATTGATAAATCAGAGAAAGATTTGACAGAATGAGTCAGAGATAGGATACGTCCAACTCCCAAGAGAACAGAGAGGATAGAGAAGCAACTTAAGAGAGAGCAGCACAGAGGACAGAGAGAGACAGAGAGACAGAGAGAGAACAAGGAGGCAGTTTCACTGGGATAGTTTTACAGAGACATGTTGAAGACAGAACAAGCTAGTCAGAGGTAAAGACAGAATGAACCAGAATATGAGAAGGAGCCAGAAGATTAGAACCGATTGCTAGAGTACTTTAAGGTGGAACAGAGCAAAACTCAGAAGCTTTGAGAAGCCAGTTTGAATCAGTCAGCAGACTGGAGAGGAGAGAAGTTTGAGCAAAAAAGCATAGTTGAACAAGCCAGCCAGAGTTCAAAAAAGACCAGAAAGGGTGAGTTTATTCAGCAGTAAGTCTCAGAGGCTGAAAAGATTTTAGGCTTTGATTAGATTGCAAGGAGTCTAGAAGCTAAATAGGCCCAGAGGCAATAAGACAGAGGTGATAAGCTTCAGAGACAACAACTTCATTTGGAAATAAAAGTTACTTTTACATGGTGGTTTAAATTATTATGTCTATTGCTTGAGAATATTTTTTTTCTGATTATTGAAATTTGTGTGTAGAGGTGAGGCTCACATAACTGCACATGTGAGAGGGGATGGAATGGTGACCTGTGAGTCAGGAAGAAAAACAAGCACAGATCGTTGCAATCCATGGGCCATTTCCTCAGTCTCTTGAAAGTTTTTCATTTGAAAAAAGGTTTGAAGTAACATTAAACTTCAGATTTCTTCCCATTGTGTAAGATAGACATTCTACTGAGCATGAGGCTTCAGTGAAAAATCACATGAACTCGAAGTCACACAAATGATGGATTATAAATAAAATGATGTTGTTCATTTTTACTTTTCTTTTTTTTACTTTTTAAAAATGTATTTATATTTTTATAAATTACAATTTATTTAATTTGTATCCCCTCTGTAGCTCCCTCCCTCATCTCCTCCCAATCCCACTCTCCCTCCCTCATCTTCTCCCATGCCCCTCTCCAAGTTCACTGATAGGGGAGGTCCTCCTCATCTTCCATCTCATCCTGGCTTATCAGGTCTCATCAGGACTGGCTGCATTGTCTTCCTCTGTGGCCTGGCAAGGCTGCTCCCCCTCAAGAGGAGGTGATCAAAAAGCCAGCCACTGATATGCTATGGAAAACAAAAAAACAAACCAACCATCCAGACAAAAAAAAGTCACCAAATTGTTTTCTCCTTGCACATATGTTTGGTTAGAGAATTTATTATGTTAGAGAA